AAATTAAAGATGTCTAAATCATAAAACAGTAAACAGTGGTGATAAAATGTATCAGTGATGATAAAATATATTGTATCGGTACAAACTATAATTATATTGCCATAAAGGGAAAAATTATACATTGTAAAGCATGCGACAGAGAAATTAATTTTTTTTTTTTATTTGTTTCGTGTCTATGAGTCTAATTGTTCAGTTACAATTATTTTCATTTTTTATATGTTATTCTTGTTTGAGATCGTGTGGATTTCGATACAGTTATCGGCAATCGCTAGTTTTTTTTTTTTATGGAATTAGTTCCGTTTTATACATGTTTGGCTGTATTGTATTTGTTAGTTAGTAAGGTCTAGCGAGTGTTTCCTTTTCAGTCTTCTGGGTAGTAGGGAGTAACAGTCTTTTGCCAGGGGTGAGTTTTGATTTTTTGTTGATGTGTTCTTGTGATTTTTGATTTTTTGTTAATGTGTTCTTACGCGCTTTAGTATTTCCTCTTCGATGGTATTCCTAGGGTTTTTCTTATGTCATCGCTTCTGACATATCATTGAGCGTCTAGTATTGTACGTAGGATGATGGATTGTAGGTTTTTTATCTTTTTTATGTTCGACTTGGCTGCTATGCCCCAGATTTATAGCCCGTATGTTCAAGTAGGTTTAATTATAATTTTGTAGATTAGTAGCTTATTTTTTACGCTTACTTAGAGTTCTTTGATGTGAGCCAGTACATGGATTTTCTAATTGTTTTTATTTGTTTGATCTTTTCTTGGATGTGCTTTTTCCAGTTCAATTTGTTGTCTAGATGTAAGCCGAGATATTTGACGGAAAGTGCTTGACGTAGTTCTTGGTTGTTGAATTTGATTTTTGGAATTAGCCCTTTGTTGAGTGTGACTGTGATATGTACACATTTGGTTGTGTTAATTTTGATTTTGTTGTTCTTTGTCCATTTTTCGATTTTGTTTAAGTAATTTTGTAAGGTTTTTTGGCTTTTCTTATGCTTTTTTGCGCAGATAGTATTGCTGTGTCATCGGCAAATGTGTATATTTTTGTTGCTGGTGCTGCGGGTAGGTCCGCGATGAGAAAAATTAAATGTAGCAGAATATTTCAACTATGCATGTACATTGATGCACAGAGATACACACTAGAAATGTTGAAGATTACTTTTGTTGCAATTATCCACAGACTGAAACCAAATTTTCCTTTTTCAAGGAGAAATAATTTTTTAAATTGTTGCAGATGTTTCAAGCAGTCAACACGTTTCAAATATGTTTTATTAATAAATTATGGAGAGATTTATTGAATGAATATATCAAATGTAATATCCTAGATGAATCCACTTTGTGAAAAAATTATTTAAAAGATCATTACAATTTGGCTGTATTTGATATTCAAGAGAACACTGGTTTGAATTTTATTGATAAGAATACGGGTGCCATTACTTGCTGTATTGCAAATTAAAATGTTAGAAAGATTTGTGAAATTGAAAGAATTCAGTCTTATTTATTAGTCAATAAGCAATTGTCTGAAATAAAACACGCAACTATATATGTATAGATACGCCAATACAGTAATAAGAGTATCATGGTCAAATGAATTCGAAAATAATATGTATTGCTCGTCAAAGATGTAATAAGATATATTAGAGTCGGAAAACATTTTACTTTTTAGAAATGTCCTGATATATATTTTACATGTATTTTATAATTTTCACGTATCTTACATATCATTTATATTCTTTCACGTATTATATTGTCGTAAACATCTACAATCTAATAATATGATGTTTAAATTTAAACACTTGTTTAATTTTGTTAACCTTGTAGTTTAGTAGCAGCCATTGAGGATTTATAAAAATACAATAATGATATGCCTTTGGAATGCATTTCATGTCTTTCTCAGTTTCGTGTGACATGAAAAATGATTTGAAAATGAGTAATACATTATTATACGATTTCATGAAATATCATATGTTTATAGATTTAGCAAGCTAAATGAATAAATTTGTGGAATTCTCTTTTTTACGAAGTGCACTACTTATAATCGTATCTTTTTATTATTATTTAATTTTTTGTGCTTATATTTTTATAATATTCACGATTTTCTGTCCTGCAACATAAATTTGTAAATAAATCCAAATAATGTATTAATAAAAAATTAATTTGAATGTGACGATGAGCAAATCAAAGTTCACCGAATATCTTTGGAATTGAATTTGTTTTGCAAAATTGCCATTTGACACGTTCTTGTTTTTTCTTTCTTCTGCTTCGCCTTAACATTGATTTGCTTTTGGTTAACTGATCAGTCGCGACTTTATCGTGGCAACAAGATGTTTAGTATGTATGGTATAACGTTTCATCTTCGTGTGCGAGATATAAAGTATAAGTGTCAGTTGAATATAATCTACTTGTATGCTGTACAATTGATGAAAGAATCGGCTTAAATAGGTAGCAGAAGAAAATATCGTGGACATTAAGGAAATTCTATCTTGAAGTATAGATATTAAACATATCAATAATAAGTTATTACTATTCATTGCCAGTTAAAAAGTTGATTAAAAACAAAGTTGTTATTTGCAATAACTACAAATAATACATTTGCGATACTGCTACAAGTTGATAATATTAAAAAAATGTTCGCAGGAAATTTTACTCCTACAGAAATTTATGAACTCGAACACCGACTTGTACAAGCCGCAAGTGACTGTGCGCCTAGCGGCGAAGTCTAGTGATCTTCGATGTTAAGCAAGCAGAATGCGCACAACAACGCTAGGAGGTAACCTTGTCCGTCCAGCCTAGCGAGTAGTTATAACAACAAGCGTCTGAGGTAAGGGATCGCTTCCATCAGCCCCACTGATGTGTTTAAGCAGCGACTCTGAGACGAAACGCACAACTTTTCTTCACCTTACCAAAATCCTATCGTTCCTTCAGCCTTACATCCTTCAATTCATTCATGCGCATAAGTCTAAATAGGCGTAGGTAATATATTTACTTCGTCGTTATTATACTCCCTTCAAGTTGTTATTTATCATTTAGGCAGATTCGCAATTTTTTATGGACATAAAGAAAACGGAAATTAAACAAAGATTCGTTTCACCTATTATATGCTGTGAAAGATGATTTACTTTAATATTTTTCACAGAATGAGTTTCGAAAAATAACGACTTCAAATAAATTTATAAAATAAACGCTATTTAAACAAATTTTCCAAAGAGAAATTGCACGGTTTCCAGTAGAGCAGTTAACTTTGTTGAGTTTGTTAGGTTGTGGTTTAAAAGCCAGAATTACATTCTGATGTGCTCATATCGAATGAGAAAATGAGATTATGCTCATGCGAGAGATAGGATCAAAATTGATGTTTAAAACAAATATCCTAAATGTTATGCCCAAAATGAAAATAGTTGTCTTTTTTGCTTGAAACGAAAATTGGTTACAAATGACAACCATAGGTGTTTTTTTCGTTATCAGCAACCACTATTGAATCAATACCGTACCTACTAATATTTTGGAAGATGGTAGGTAGCGGTGATAAATTTCAGTTGCATATTTAGCACGTATTACACTATGCTAATATTTCTTATTTATAGCAAGTTTTATATATTGTGGTATAATGTTCACAAATTGAATGTCATAAAATGAAGTAAATTGTGTATTGGCAAATAAAAGCACTATAGGCATACAATGAAAATTTCGGGTACCCGATATCAAAGTCAGGTCAGGTAGTGCTCAGATCAAGCCCGGAACCCTAAAATCTATAATATTTGGGTACCCGAATATTACGTCGTGGGTCCGGGCGATTCTTTAATCGAATTTTACATTTATTATTTCTTCAATCTTGATTGGATTCAATTGCATTTACAATATTGCTGCCATTGTCAATGATAAAAAAAGCAGGTGTAGTGAGAATATTCCGCATTTACTCACGACGTAATTAATGCAGCTTGTATGCCGTGCTAACCGAACATTACTAGATTTGACGATCAATGTTACACTCAGAAATTACCAGAAAGATTTTAGGCAGAGGCAGTGAACACAGCTGCTTATGTAAGAAACAGAATAATCAACAACAAAATAAAAGACGACAGGAATTTGAACAGGTAACATACCAAGGAATTTGAACAGGTAACATACCAAGCACCATGCACTTAAATATACGGTTGCCTAGCTTATGCAAAGCTTCCTACGCAAAAGAAAATTAGATGACAGAGCTGTACCGTGCATACTGGTTGGATACGCTACAAAAACGAGAGGTTATAGATTAGTGGTTTAGTGTCCTGAAAAGAATGGTGTTATTGCGACAAAACATATAAGGTTTTGCGAAACAATTATAGGACGTGAACACTTTGATGAAGGAAATGTACAGAGGTGTGTTCTTGGAAACGTCTGGTCAGATAATGAACATATTGAAGGAATTGACAAGAGTGTCGATAGTAACAGTGCGTTAGAGTCACAAACAAAAAACAATGAAACTGAGCGAGAATGTGATAAAATAGTGGGGGTAATTGACTCAACGCCAAAAAGGCTACGTATACGCAGACCCAAAAAGGTTATAAGAAATCCATATGGAAGAAAGGGCAAACCAGAGCTGAAGAAATGTAATGAAGGAATAATAGAGCCAGAAAGCCAATTGACAAGAAGTTGATGCAAATTTTTTAGAAATAAATGAGCCTAAAACCATAGACGAGGCATTATCATCGCCACAAACTCATTATTGTTTTCATTGTTTTCGCTGTTTGTTTTATGATGGATACAATGTCTGTATTATCAAACAACGAGTCTTCCTATGCCGAATTTGTGGAAGATGTCCGCGAAGAGTCTTCTAATGGCAAAAGTACATCAAACAGCGATGTTGAGCCAGAGGTGTCAGATTATGATTCCAATGAAACAGATACGCTAGATACATACTCCTAAGAGCGTAATTATTCAACATCCTTCTCGTAAGTGTTCACTAACTAAAAATAGTGAACATGTGCAAACGATGGAAGAATGTTTTCATTTATTCATCAATGAAAAAACCATGGACATCATCATCCAACGCACTAATGAGAAGGTAAAGCAGAATATGCCACCAAATAAACAATGGAAACCGGTAGACCATACAGAACTAAACGCATTTTTTGGACTTGTATTATTGATTGGACGATTCAGAGAATGGTAAGCGTAAACAAGCCAAGGAACTATGGAAAGTAGACGAAGGACTATCTCGGCACTTTTATGCAGCAATAATGTCGCGTAACCGTTTTACAGATGTATTACGGTATATTCGGTTTGATGATTGCGCCACTCGCAAAGAAAGAAAAGCAAAAAACATGTTAGCACCGTTGAGAGAAATAACGAATATTTTTTCACAAATTGTAAGGATTGTTACGATGCAACAGAGGTAAATTGTGTTGATTAACAATTGGTTACATTTCACGGCAGATGTTCTTTCAAAGCATACATATATGCCAAGCAAGCCCGGAAAATATGGGATAAAAATATGGATTCAAACACTTTGCGATTCAAACACTCATTACGGTTGCAATATGGATATTTATCTGGGAAAACGCGGAAACGCTCTTGAAAAGCAACAAGGACAACGTGTTGTCAAACAGTTGACAAATTTTTGGAATAATTCAGGACGCTGTGTGACAACAGATAATTTCTTAACATGGACCTTAGTTTGGGGGAGGAATTATTGGAATGTAACATTCTTTGGTTGGTACAATGAGGAAAAACAGATGAAATTTACCAAAATCATTTATAGAAATAAAATATCGCAAATAATACTCTACAGAATTTTTATTCACAGAAAATTTAACTTTGATTTTCTACGTTTCAAAGCCGCGAAAGTGTGTTATATTATTATCAACATTACATCATGAACACGATACATCCACAGCAGCCGAAAATTGTAAACCCACTATAATAAAGTATTATAATTCCACTAAAAGTGCAGAACGAACAGAAGCAAATAAAATAAATAAAGAATGGTCTGACAAAGTCTGTAGAGAAAGCAGGAAAGAATTCAAAATATAAACCCGAATTTACAGAAAGACTCAAGATGAAAAATCAAAGGCAAAATATATAGAATTTAGAAACAGATACAAGAACCTAATAAAAATTAGGAAAACATCACGAAACTTCGGAAGAACATGGAAGGAGGGACGCAAGAAATTTTTAGAAATCAGTAAGAATACTTAGAAACAAACCATCGAATGGAAGTGCGGTAAAGCCGGAGGAGTGGGAACGCTATCTCAGAAAAATCCATAAAACCAGTAAACCATCAAAAACAATCTATAAAGATGCGAAGCACCTTTTCCTTGACAAGCCAATTGAAACTACTAAGCTAAGGAAAGTGCTAAGAAGACTAAAGACAAACAAGTCGCCAGTGCCAGACGGAATACCAAATGAGTTTTACAAACACCTCCCACAAAACGCAAAGTTATTCCCCTCCGAATAATGAACGAAGCGATGGAGAAAGGGACGATTCCAGACAGCTGGAGTAATACGCAACTTACTATGCTGCATAAAAAAGGAGACCTAAAAGATCCAAATGCTCAAGCAATTACAATTCTGATAATTTTCACCTCAATTCTGACCAACAGATTGAATACATGGAGTGAGAGCAACGACATCCTCCCGGAAGGGCAATCAAGAATCAGGAGTGAGAGAGGATGAGAAGGCAACATTTTCACACTACAAAGTAAAATAGCAGAAACACTCCAGACGTCTAAAACGAAACTATACATCTTGTTTGTTAATTTCAGGTCTTTCGACTCAGTACAGCATATCCTTTTATGGCACAATATGTACAGTGGAGGTGTCAGCTCTCATATGGTAAATACAATCAAAAAGATTTATAAAAAAGCTAATACCAGGATAAAATCTGGAACCATACTAACAAATGAAATTGACATCACAAGAAGAGTATTACCAGGAAATACACTGAGTTCCACCCTATTATCAACAATGTTATATGACATCGATAAATATTTTATACAACATGATCACACTGGAGTGATCAAAAACATGGAACTTCTTCTTTTTTCCGATGATTTAGTAATTAAAGCTAATAACCTCATTGACCTACAAGACAAACTGAAAACATTAGAAACATACTGTAGGGAAAACAAGATCGAAGTTAATATCGAGAAAACAAAAATATTGACATGCAATAGATCAGGAAAGTAAGCCAAGAATAAATACTACAATGGAAAAGCAATAGAATATGTGAAGAACTACCTCTACTTGGGAACAATTTTTACATCCACAGAAACCTTTTCAACTGAGGTAAAACATGCCATATCAAAGGCAAGAATAACAATTGGTGCTATGTGAAAACCTTGGTCTCAAAATGCACTAGTTGGGAAGAGGCAATCAAACTCTTTGACACAGTAACCTTATCAACACTATTTTATGGAATTAGCATAGGGAGACTAGATATCTGAAAGAAGTGGAAAAAGTACAAACAAAATTCTTTAAAAGACTTCTAGACGTGCCAAAAAACACTCCAAACTACATCATCAGAGTAGAAGTAGGTAGAATAAGCCAGGAATATGAAATTATTAAAAGAATTTTCAATTATTAGGCCAGAATAATAAATATGAGGAACAAGAGATTCCGCAAAAGATGCTTGGAAAAACTTATAAACATGGATGCAAGAAACAGGGACTCGAAAAGAAATTGGTTTTCCCAGTAAAATCAATACTAGAAGGTTATGGATGTGGCGATGAAATCATCGACACCGTAAATCTAAAATACGTCAACGAAGAAGAAATAATCTTAAATAAAATCAAAGAAAGGCTTTTCCAGAATGACAAAACTAGAGGGGAGAACTCTGCATACAGCTCTATCTATCAAAATAAAGGATCTCTCAGAAATAAAACCGGAAGTATACCTGAAAATATCTATCCCAATAAAATACAAGAGAACACTCGCCCAATTAAGATTATCAGGGTGTATGGAGAACAAGAAGCAGTTACGGACTTGCGTTAACGATCAGCGTCGTGCATAAAAATTGAAGAAATGAATGAGATAATATATTTGATGAGATGATTCTTGAAAATGTATATTTAGTAGATTAATACAGTGAACAAATGGTCATAGAAAAATATCATAATATTTTACAATTAAGGAAAGGAGAAACAAAATGCAATGTGACTACAATGATAGGGTCGGAAAGTTAACGCATCTTACCTTTTCTAGTATTTTACAATAAAATATATCTCAATATTTTGTATGACAACCTTTTGCTGCTATAACGTTTTGTAGACGGTTTCGTATACTCTGAATTAATTTTTTAATTATATCTGGACTAATATTGGTCTATTCCTTATATAATGCGTTAATAATAATTGTTTTTCGTTTACGGCCACATTTTTTTTAAATTATTGCAAAAGGGCTCGATGGGATTTATGGGGGTCAGTCCAGCACGGTTATTTCATTATCTTCCAAAAATTTCGTTGTTATTTTTGCCTTGTGTTTGGAATCATTGTCATGTTGAAAAGCGTATTCCCTCTCTAGTTCCATTTTTTGTGCTGAATCAATAAAATTTTTTTGTAGAATTTCAATGTATCTGTCTGCCGTCAATTTTCCGTCAATAATGACTAGATTTTCCATGCCGGCGAAAGCCGGGCCTAAAACTCAAACACAAGATCCAGAGTTTAAAAACACCTAAAATACTACTTAAGCTAACAAAAGAAAAATTAAACGTGTCAGAAAGTGAAGAAACTATCAACAGTGACGACTACGAGATGGACACCTCGTACATGGAAACAGACGCAAACAGCAAAGCTAAAGACCAATGGAAAATACAAAAGCAAACTAAAAAAAAAAAAAAAAAAAAAAAAAAAAAAAAAAAAAAAAAAAAACACTGATTGCCAAAAACGCAACTACAGCCCCAACTCTAAGACTAATTAAAATACATCCGAAAGAAAATTGGCTTGGAGAAATACCAATAATGAATAAATTCCAGGCACTCCAAAATCTAACAGAAGAAAAAGAAACGATCACCACCTCACAACCCAAACTACCTCCCATATACATTGAAGCTCCTAATATTAATCCATTAATAGAAAAACTAAACGAAATAATAGGTCCTACAGAATACACTCTGAAGCAATTGAAATGCAAACAAGTCAAACTACAAGTACAAACCCCCAACGTCTATAGAGCCATGATATGAACACTAAAAGAGAAGAATGCAGAATATTATACATTCCAACCAAAAACGGAAAGAAAGTTTAAATTCGTGATAAAAGAATTACACCCAAAATTAGACACAGAATACATGAAAACAGACGTACAAGAGAAAGAACACAAGGTAAGTAATATCATTAATCTCACAAAAAGAGGTACGACAATCCCACTTCCAATGTTTCTGGTAGTAATAGAACAAGCCAATAATAACACATATACAACACATCAATCGTATGCAATACCAAAGTCAAAATAGAACCGCCAAGAGCTAACAGAGAAATACCACAGTGCGCTAGATGCCAGAGGTATGGACATATTAAGACCTATTGCAATAAACAAGCTAAATGTGTGAAATGTGCCAGGTACCCATCCCACCGAAAACTGCCCACTGGGCAAAAGAATAGACAAAGTAGTCTGTGTTAACTGTGGAAACAATCATCCAGCAAATTATAAAGCCTGCATAGTAAGAAGAGCTGCAAATAAAATTATTTCCCCCAATAAGAGACAGAGGAATACAAAAATTAGCACCGTCACAAACCAACACTGCAAACATCAACACAAATCTTAACACAAATATCAATCGAAAATTTAGGAACTATCCAGAAGTACCAAAACCGAACAACAGACGCGATACTAACGAACACGAGAGCAAACAACCAATTCAGATGCAAAGACTGGAAAAACTTGAAACATTAGAAAACCTAACACAACAAATGACTGTAATGCTAAACTTACTATCGAAACTAATCACGCTACAGGAACAAAACCAAGCAAAAAATTAAATTAATGCAGTAACGGGCTACAGAATCGGATACCCGAACTAAAACAACTCCTAAAACAGCTTGAGATAGACATTATAGCAATCTCAGAAACACACGAAATGAATAAATTAAAACTTCAAAACTTCATAATACACCTATTACGGTACACCACACCCCAGCGGCAAAGCACGCGGCGGATCGGGAATTTGCATAAAAAATGATATCAAACAAACTCATACGAAACTGAAAAAATGCAAGCAACAACAGTCAATGTTACACTACATAACCGAGATGTCAATATCTCAGCAATGTACTGTTCGCCAAAACACGCAATGTCAACAGAAAAATTCAACAAATTCTTTAAGAGCTATAAAACAAAATTTATAGCTTTAGGGGATCTGAACGCAAAGCACAACTATTAGGGTTCTAAAACAAACTACCTTAAAGAAAAAATTCTTCTTCTACCAGTGAATAAAAATTAATACCCTAAAAATCTACTCATCAGGGAGGCCAACCTACTGGCCAGACACAAACAAAATACCGGACATCCTAGACATAGCAGTCATGAATATAAATTTGAACATCAAAACTAAGGAGCTGCTAGATTTAGGTTCACAATCAATTCGATCGATCAAAAAGTGACAAAAAACGAAAAAACGAAATTGACAAACGCCACTACGGACTGGATAGCACACGCAGAATACATTAATAAAAATCTGAACTGCAATATACTTCTAAAAAATGCACTAGACGTAGAGAAGGCAGCTGAAATACTAATAAGTCCACTCGAAACGGCAGCATTCCATTCCAGAAAATACGAGGCGGAAACTCCCAAGCGTACGCAAATCCCGACACACATACTAGAACTAATCAAAACCAGGAAAAAAGCAAGGAAACAATGGCAAAACACAAGATGGCCCCAAATCAAGACCATGATAAACAGACTTACAAACAAAATTAAGCGAGAACAAAACAAATAACTACGAATTCACAAATTTCATCATGAATCTAGACAATACAAATAGCAAGCAATACAAACTATTCCTTATGGAAAAGTGCAAAAAAACTCAAAAGACCACTCACTCAAATTCCCCCTATTCAAAACCGGACAGAAATTGGACCACAACGATAGAAGACCAAGCTGAAACCATGGCAGATTACCTGAGCGAAACATTACAATTAACAAACCCCACATACCTCCAAACAATAGCAACAACGAAACACTAAAATACAAAGCAAGGAAAAAAGAAATCTCCACAATAATTAAAAAACTAGAAAAAATAAAATTCCACGATATGACCTAATAACAGCAAAAATGCTCAAAAAAATCTCAAGCGGTAAGATTCCTAAGCTAACAATCCTAATAAATGCGATATACAAGGTAGGCCACTTTTTCCGGCTATTGAAGTGTGCAGAAATCATACCACTACAAAAACCAAGCAAAAATCCCAAATTCCCATCATCCTATAGACCCATATCTCTTTTTCCTATGATTCCTAAAGTAATGGAAAAAACCATCTAAAAAAGTTAATAGAGGAAATCACCAACAAAAACTTGATCCCTGATCACCAATTCGGATTTAGACAAAACCACAACACAATAGAACAGATACATAGGATGATAAACAGCATAATCCGTGTCATGGAAGAAAAAAAATACTGTACAGCAGCATTCCTAGACGTAGAAAGAGCATTCAATAAAGCATGGCACGAAAGTTTGCTTTAAAAACTCCAAGAAATAGTGTCAAAAGACCTATATCCAATACTAGCACCATACATAACAAATAGATACTTCTACGTCAGAATCAAAAATGAAAAATCATCACTCAAAAAGATACACTCCTCAATGCAATGTTTTAAGACGCATCCTGTATGCTTTGTTGACTGCGGACCTACCCGCAGCACCAGGAACAATAATATACACTATTGCCGACAATACGGCAATACTATCTACGCAAAAAAACATGAGAAAAAGAACTAAAACCTTACAAAATCATTTAAATAAAATAGAGAAATGTACGGAGAACAACAAAATCAAGATTAAAACAATCAAATACGTAAAATGTATCACATTCACACTCAACAATAAGCCAATTACAAAAATCAAATTCAACAACCAAGAACTACCTCAAGCACTTTCCGTCAAATATCTCGGCTTACATCTAGACAACAAACTGAACTGGAAAAAACACATCCAAGAAAAAATCAAACAAATAACACCAATTAGAAAATCCATGTATTGGCTAATATCAAGAAATTCTAAGTTACTAATCTACAAAATTATAATTAAACCTATTTGGACATACGGGCCACAAATCTGGGGCATGGCAGACAAGTCCATAAAAAACATAAAAAAGGTAGAAAACATACAATCCATCATCCTACTTATAATGCTAGACGCTCAATGTTATGTCAAAAATAATGAACATAAGAAAAAATTTAGGAATACCAACCATCAAATAGGAAATAATAAAGCGCGCAAGAACACATTAACACAAAATAAATCTCAGGAACCCTCTGCCAAAGACTGTTACTCCCTACTACTCAGAAGACTGAAAAGGAAACACCGCTAGATCTCACTAACTAACAAATGGAAAACATGTATAAAACGGAACTAATTCCATAAGAAGAACTAGTGATTGCCGGTAACTCTATCGAAATCCACACGGTCTCAAACAAGAATAATATAAAAAAAATGAAAATAATTGTAACTGAACAATCAGACTCATACACACGGAACAAATAGGAAAAAAATTTGAATGCCTCTCAACTCAAAGAAGTAGCAAATGAAATTTGACATAAATATTTATGAGAAATATTCAATGATATAAAATATGATAGATTTCTTGTTCGTTTAATCGTTGTCTCATTAATTTTAGAAACCAATTCGACAAATTGTGTATTTCCTTTCTATTTAGTATATTATGAACTGATTAAATTTTGAACAGTCATATATTGGTAAAATTTTTATTTGAAATTATAAACAAAATCGACTAGTATTGACAGTTTCGGTTTAGCAGTCGTACCGTACGGACGT